GAGAGGGAATGAGTGAATCTTATTCTCATAGGATTTGGCTTAAGGAGGGAATAACATACACATTCAATTGGGTATGGAAATCTGTCTTACCCTACAGGAAAATAGGGGAGAAGGGGACAAGAGAGCAGGGGGATGATAGAGAGGAGGGCAGATTGGGAAAGGGGGTAATCAGAAGGAAATACTTCTGAGGAGGGACAGGGTCAAAAGAAAGAATAGAATAAATGGGAGGGCAGGATAGGATTAAGGGAAATAGAGTTAGTTTTTCACAACATGTCTACTATGGAAGTGTTTTGCATAACTGCACATGTATAACCTATATTGAGTTGTTTGCCTTTTCAATGAGGGTGGGTGGGGAGGGAGGAAGAGAGAAAATTTGAAACCTAAAGTTTTAAAAACACATGTTTAAAAAAAATGTTTTCACATGCTACTGGGAAATAAGAAATACAGGAGATAGGGTACAGAAGTCTATCCTGCCCTACAGGAAAATAGAAGGGGAAGGGGATAAGAGAAAGGGGGAGAGATAGAAGAGAGGACAGACTAGGGGAAGGGATATTCAGAATGCATGCCATCTTGAGGTGGGGGGAGGGGTGAGATGGGTCGAAAATTTGGAACTCAAAAACTTGTGGAAGTGAATGTTGAAAACTAAAAATAAATAAATTTATATTTAAAAAGAAAACTTAAAAAATGCTTATTGATTGATTAATTAATTGACCAGGGCAGACCTGTCACCCTCCTCACCCTGGACACTATGTGTTTCAACACACCCAAAGGTGGCATTGGCTTCCAGTGCTGCCACATCACACTCTAGATATTTGCGATAGTTTGCTGCTTGGTCTCCCTGCCTTCATGGCTATCCCCACTGCAGCCCATCCTCCATGCAGCTGCCACAGTGATTTTCCTAAAGCATGGGACTGACCATGTCATTCGTCTACTCAGTAAACTTCAGTGGCTCCCTACTACCTTAGGAAAAAATACAAACTCCTCTGTTTAGCTTTTAAATATCCATACAACATGACCCAAGTCTCTTTCTAGCCTCATTGGACATTACTCTCCCTCCCACAGGCAGCAGCTAAGTGGCACAGTTATTTGAGCACTGAACTTAGAATCAGGAAGGCTCATCTGTGCTCAAATCTGGCCTCAGACACTTACCAGCTATGTGACCCTGGGCAAGTCACTTAACCCTGTTTGCCTCAGTTTCCTCATCTGTAAAATGAGCTGGAGAAGGAAATGGCAAACCACTCCAAGATCTTTGCCAAGAAAACCCCAAACGGGGTCGTAGAGAGTAAGACATGACTGAACAACTGAACTCCCACCCACATTCTGTGATCCAGCCCAAATGAACCTTTTTTTCTGTTTCATACCTATAATACTCCATTTCCTCATCGTCATGCCTTTGCACTGGCCTTCCCTCATCCTCCCTCCTTACATCTGCCTCATGGTATCTCTCTCTTCCTTCAAGATGTAGAGCAGGCAACCCATGAAGCTTTCCCGAATGTCCCCTATTCCTATTGCCCTCCCTCTGAAACTGCATCATATTTATTTGCATTTATTCTCTTTATATTTATTCTAAATATATATATGTATATCATTAACACCCCAGATAGATGGATTTGGTAGTCCCTTAAAGCAGAGATGCCAAACTCAGGGCCAACAAACTGTTGAGTGATTGTAAGAACCATATTAAAATGTAATTGGAAAATGTTTAAAGAATAAACTAAAATCCAATATAGACAATGTTTATTTGTGTTTTCTAGGTCAACACATGGCCCACAAGGATCCATTTCTATTTGATATCACTCTCCTAAAGAATAGTTGCATACATGTAGGGAAATGTGACTTCTGAGAGAGACAAGCAGAGAAGGAGAGAGAGAGAGAGAGAGAGAGAGAGAGAGAGAGAGAGAGAGAGAGAGAGAGAGACAGAGAGAGACAGAGAGAGAGAGACAGAGAGACAGAGAGAGACAGAGGAGATACAGAGAGAGGACACAGAGAGAGAGTGATGGCGAGGAGAAAGAGAGAGAAAGACAGAGAGACAGAGTGAGACAGACAGACAGACAGAGACAGAGAGAAAGTACCATTAGAACCATGATTTGGAGATTCCTGGAGCTCCGGGAATAGGAGGGAAACCTGGCACCCTACCATGTCCCTTGACCTGCCTGTACCTCCAGAGACTACCAAGAGAAGACTTGCTCAGATGAGATCATTTTCTACCTGGTTCAGCTAAGATTTCATCTCAACTCCAAATCGCAAAGACCTCTATAAATCTTGTGTATTCTATCCTAAATTCATCTGGATAGCTTCCTCAATTATTGTTTTGCTTTCTTGCTTTCATAAATATGTTTGCTTGCTCTCCAAGTTTGCCTTTGGTGAATTAAGCGTTTAGTGAGATCACTGTCTACCCAGTTGAGCTGAGATTCCAGCTCAGTCCCAGGTCACAAAGCCCACCTTTAATCTTGTGTATTCCATTGCGGGAACTTACCTGTTTAGCTCCTCAATTACTGTTTTGCTTGCTATCTTTGAAAAATGTGCTTGCTTGCTCTCTATAATTGTCTTTTGTGTGTTGTGCTTAGTGGAAGTGACGCTAAACAAACTAAAATTAAGCTAACTGTTACCTTTCGGGTTTGATGTCTACTGCAAGGAAAGTGACTTCCATCTTCAACCCCAAAAAGTGTGATATCCCTGGATTACAAACATCTGATCGTGAGAGATATCATTCCACACCCAATATATTTCTTAAAGGTAGGAGAATTTGAGAGTGATTGTTTAGCCAAGCTCACCCCCTGCTCACCACAAAAATGGGACTCCAGTCTCCCTGAAACGTGGGGTGGACCTTCCAGATCTACCTATAAAGCTATGCTACACACAGCCACCCATTCCTATGTCTATGTCTCCCCCATTAGAATGTAAGTTCCCTGACAGAATATTCCTAGGATCCAGCACAGTACCTGCTACATGGTGTTTATTGGTTAATTGATTTTTATTAACCTTACAATCCAATAAAAACACCAGGTGTTTGCATGTAAAAATGGCATCAAATCTAGGGAAATAAAGTCTGATAAAACAGTTGGCGGCTTCAGAAAAGGTGTGAGAACTGTTCCGCTCCTCCCCAACCCTTAGTTGATAGAGAATGTGAGCACATTTCAGGGACTGAATATACCCCGAGGAGATCAAAGAACTAAAGAGAGACTCAGTAAACAAGAAAATATCTGTAGCACCACTTTTTGAAGCAGCGAAGTGAGAACAAAGTGGATGTCCATTAAATGGAATATCATGGAATACTATTGTGCCCTAAGAAATGACAAATGGGATAAATGCAGAGAAGTGTGGGAAGATTTCAGGAGAATAATACACGAAATATCTACAACAATGTAAAATCTAGGTGGCACGAGTGAGACAGTGGATAGAGCACCAAGGCCAGAGTCAGGAAGACTCATCTTCCTGAGTTCAAATCCAGTCTCAGACCGCTTATTAGCTGTGTGACCCTGGGCAAGTCATTTCACCCAATTTGCCTCTGTTCTTCACCTGTAAGATGAGCTGGAGAAGGAAACGGCAAACCACTCCAGTATCTTTGCCAAGAAAACCACAGATGGGGTCACAGAGAGTCAGACATACTGAAAATGACTTAACAACAACAACAATAAATTATTACACAAGTTGATCAAAGCCTCATAACATATATAACACCTTTGGTAATTATCACAAAGCCTTTAACTCAGTTCTACTCTCATAGTTTGTTCATGTACTATAAACATATAGAATAGGCCCAAGTATAGTGGAAACCCTCAAGTATTTGATCCACATAGAAAACTGTTCTCTATTTAAAACATGCAGCCAACATAACGATGTCAAAAAATCAATATGAAATGTATCACTTTTCAGGGAGACTATTTTAGTCCATTGAGGTTCACACTTAGCCTCAAACCCAACATCACCTCTCCTAAAAAGAGCTTGCTATGGAGTCCAAATTAAAGGAGTCAACTCAAAAGATGTTATTAGTCACTCAAAGTAGTGTCCCACCCTCCATAACCCCATTTGGTGTTTTCTTGGCAAAGATGCTGGAGTGGTTTGCCATTTCTTTCTTCGGCTCATTTTTTATAAGTGAAGAAGCTGAGGCAAACAGGGTTAAAGTGACTTGCCTCAGTTTCTCCATCTGTAAAATGGAGATTATAAGGGTCACGCAGCTGGTAAGTGTCTGAGGCCAGATTTCAATACATGAAGATGAGTCTTTCTGACTTCAGTCCCAGCACTCTATCCACTGCACCACCTAGCTGCCTTCTTAATGTGCATGGATGACATTAAGCTATGACTCCACCAAAAAACAAATTAAATGTTTCCTTCATCTCATGTAATCTTTCTCTGGTGATATCAGAATACCATATGTAATCACGGAGTATAAAATTCTTAATGAACAAGAAGGAAAGATAGAGACTGAAAAGGGGTTGTAAGGATGATGATGATGATAATGGTGATGATGATGATGGTGGTGGTGGTGGTGATGGTGAAGATGATGATGATGGTGATGATGGTGATGATGATGATGATGATGATGACAGTTATGATGATTTATATAATGCTTTAAAGTCTGCACAACACTTTACAAATACGATCTCATTTCCCCTTCACAGCAACCCTGGGAGATAGAGGCTATTATTATTCCCATTTTATGGAGAAGAAAACTGAGAAACAGATGTGACTTGCCTAAGATCACAAAGTAAGTGTCTGAGGTCAAGTCTTCTTGACCCCAGGTCCAGCACTCTTTCTACTGTGTTAGCTAGCCGCAACTTGAATTCAGAGGTTACAAGGGACCAATGAGGGAAGACAATATTCACAAATACTTGGGTCTTCCCCAAGGCAAGACGTATGGAGCATAAAGGAAGTGATGACGCAAATGTCAAAGAGACTAATTTAAACTTAATTTTTTTTTTGGACATGGCAGTATAGGGATTTGTTTTGCTTAACTTTACATATTCGTTACAAAGGTTTTGTTTTTCTTTCTCTTTCAGTTGGGGAAAGGATGGGCAGTGAAAAGAAGAAAAGGTAGGGTTTGATTAAATTGAAAAAAAAAATTAATTTAAAAAAGAACTTCCTGATAAGCAAAACTGTACAAAATGGAATAGTCTGCCTTGGGTGGGGGTGGGGGGGTCCTTCCTTGCAAGTGTAGCTAGGGACTGGCCATTGAGAGCTGTGATGAACATGAGCATCCCACTGCATCAGAAGTGTTCCCCACCAGGCTTCAGCCATCAGGGCTGAGAAAATTAAAAAAGAATCCTAATTTGGGAGTTGGCAGAAAGATGTTCAAAGTTTATGTAAACTACACAAGTCTTCAAGCAACAGCTAAATGATTCCTTGTCAGGGACATTATAGCAGGGATTCCTTTAAAGTGTGTGCTGGTGGGGCAGCTAGGTGGCGCAATGGATAGATCACCAGCCCTGAAGTCAGGAGAACCTGAGTTCAAATCCAGCCTCAAACCAAACACTTGACACTCACTAGCTGTGTGACCCTGAGCAAGTCACTTAACCCCAATTGCCTATAAATAAATAAATAAATAGAGTGTGCGCTGAACAAGATGGCCTCTGAGGTCCCTTCCAACTGTCAAATTCTATGATTCTGTGAAGGTTCTTAAAGCTGTTAATATAATCTCAGTGATCCTAACAACCACCCTGTGAGTTAGGTGCTATTATCCCCACTTCACAGTTGAGAAAAATGAGGCTGAGAAAGGCTTAGTGACTGGCCTAGGATCACATAACTAATAAACACTTGAGCTTCAGTGCTCTATCCACTATGCCATGTTGTCTCTCACCAAAAAACAAAAAAGTTCTTGGGGGTCCCCATTATCAAACTTCCCACACACATTTGTCTCCTGCTCCTTTTCTCTCCCCTCCTCTAAACACTTCCACAAGTCAGAAGTGTTTAGGAGTAAGGAAACCAGCAATTAAGGTACCGTCCTGTGGTCACGTATTGAAGGAATAAGGATTGAGAGGGATGAAGGGAGACTTGTACCCACTTGCTCCCTTTTCCCTCATGTCTTCAGATTTGTATTCATTTTTCAGAAGTACTATTTTCACTCTGAGGAGTTCATCTATCATAGGTGTGCTGGAATAATAACTTAAGTGTGTAACGTGTAAAAAGTTCAAGAGAAAATTTCTGGGTAATTAATCATTTAATTAATTATAGCTAATAAGTAATTTTAAAAAGGATGCTCATTTGACCATCTCTTGTGTATCAAAAATGGATCATGGTGACTTGTTGATGCTTGTGTGCCCTTGGAAGAGTGGCTGTTCCTTATGGCAATCAACTCTGATTGGTTAACAATTAATGAGAAGAATGAATATTATAATGAGAGGTGGACCTATTCTAATGAGGGGCAGAAGGATGTGGCTTTGATCATATCACTCTTACTCCCAGCCCCAGGCAATCTAGACAAAAGATCTAACACCCCACCCCACCCCCAACCCAAGCCTGAGGAAAACACAATGGGCCCTGAGGCAGGGGAAGTGATCTGGCTTGAGATGAGTCTCTCTTTGTCTGGTGACTTGATCAGAGTCAAGTACCAGCCCCTAATTAGAATAAGTTCATCTCTCATTATTATATTCATTTTCCCATTAATTATTAACTTATCAGAGTTGATTGCCTCCTCTCAGGAACACCTACTCTTCCAAGAGCATATACGTGTCAAGAGGTCTCCCTGAGGGGTCTTTGGTTTCCAGAGAAAGCCAAATGACCATTTTATCATTATTTGCTAGCCATAATTAATAAAATTATCAATTACCCAGAAACTATGTCTCTTGAATTTTTCATACATCACAGATGTATTTGATCCTATAGGCAATAGGGAGCATTAATTTTCACTTTGACTCTTATTTTATTGTAGTTACTGTGTATTTTTTCATATTGGAATCACAGAATTTCAGAGTAGGAAGGTGACTCAGTTCAACTCATACATGAAAGGAATCCATCCCCACTCTGACATACCTAACAAATGGCTGTCCAACTTCTCCTCAAAGACCCCTAAGGAGAGATCACTCACCATCTCTCTAGATAACCCTTTCCACTCTTGGATAGTTCTGTCAGGAAGTTTTTCTTGACATCAAAGCCTAAATTCCATAAGACTTTTTCCAGGTTTCTCTGCATACCTCACTGAGTTGGGTCCATTTTAAGCGATATAGATATATGAAAACCTAAACAAACCAAATAAACGTATCACTGGAGGGTTATTCACGCGTTAGAGGGATTCTTTTATTATGGAATTCACCACAGAATTTCTTTAAAAAGCAAGCCCCCATATTATTGCATATTATAGTACTACATACATCACTAGACTGTAAGTTCCTTGAGGGCAGAAACTGATTCCTTTTTCTGTTGATATTCCAGTGCCTGGCAAATAGTGTTTAATAAATGTTCCTTGATAAGTTGATTGTCTGGACAATTCTTTATCCACTTGGGCTTTTTCATGAGTGAACAGTTAGATCAAATTATTTTAGTGATTAGCATCTCATTTAGGAGATTCTGCTGTGTTCCAGGGTTTGGTATAACTGGAACAATGTCATCCACAACAAAGGAGCATGAAGATGGCTTCATCGTCCACATGTAATCTCTCTTTAATTCAAACTTCGCTGGCATATGCCATGCTACCTGCAATGGAGCCATGATCCTCACTTTCCCTTCCCTCAGTGCAACCTTGAACTCTACCCCTGGGTCACCCAGTTCAGGTTAGTGAGTGATTCATCTTGCCAGGAAGCAAGCCTCCACATCCCATCCTGTCCATCTTCTCCTAAAAGTTGCACAACGGATAAAGTGCTAAGCCTGAAGTCAGGATGTCTTGAGTTCAAATCCAGCCTCAGACACTTACTAAGTGTAAGTGTACTAGCCTCGGACAAGTCACTTAATATCCCTCTGCCTCAGTTTTCTCAACTGTAAAATGTGGATAATAACAGCACCTACCTCCCAGGGTTATTATAAGAATCAAACAAGATAAATATTTGTAAAGCACAGTGCTTGGCACATAGTAGGGGTTTAATCAATGTTTACTTTTTTCTCCCCTTTTTATCTCCCCTTTATGTATTGCCTTTACCCATTAGAATGCAAGTTCTGGGGTAGCTAGGTGGCACAGTGGATAGAGCACTGGCTCAGGAGTACCTAAGTTCAAATCCAGCCTCAGACACTTGACACTTACTAATTGTGTGACCCTGGGCAAGTCACTTAACTCTGATTGCCTCACCAAAAAAATAAAAAATAAAAAAAGTAAGTTCCTAGAGGGCAGAGACAGTCTGCTTTGCTTCTCTCTGTCTTCTCAGTGCTTAGCACATTGTCAGGCACAGAATAAGTGCTTAATAAATGCTTTATCTATCTATTTTCAGAGTAGACAGTTCATTATATCTTTACTGAATTAGGTTGACCTAAAGACTGATCAATGGTTCTTTAAAATCAGAACCGAGAAGAGGCTTATCAAGTTAAAGTGGTTGAGCTAACCAGATGCTCCAACCAGGTGCACCTTCTCCCCTTACCAACTCCCAAGACAGACAGATAAGATCTCCTTTCAAGTTCTCAGCTTTCAGAACTCCAAGAGGCTCTTCAAATTGCATCATGCCCTGCAACACTTTCTATGTAGCTCAGAGGGCTGTTATGAGAGAGTGTTTTTTAAACTGCAAAACATTTCACTAAATGTGAGCTAGTATTCATTCTTTTTTTTCATTATTATCATCATCATTATTATTATTTCATGAGGAGCAATGGTAGAGAGAGGGCTATACTGGGAGACAGTAAAGAACTGGCTTTGAATCCTACCTCTCACGCTAATTAGCCATGGGACCCTGCGCAATTCACTTCCCTATTCTGAGACTCAATCTCCTCATCTGTAAAATGGGGGCAGCAATCCCTGTAGTGCTTACTTGGAAGGGATGTTATGAGGCTTAAATGAGAGAGCATGTGTTAATCTCTTTGCAAGCCTTGAAATGACATATAAGCATCCGTTATTTTTATTTTTTTTTTAGATGTCTTCCTCCATTATCTCCTTCTTCACTCTGGTCTCAGATGAAGAAGAGGCCTTTATACCTGTCAAGACAGACTCTTTTATATGCTCCTATGACCCCATCTCTTCCCAACTTCTCCAACCAATCACCCCCACTATCACCTCCATTCTCTCCCTCTATCTTAAATTTCTCCTTAATTGCTCTTTCTCTGATATCTACAAACATTTTCATGTCTCCCCCATGCTTGAAAAAAATCCTTGCTTGATCAGACCATATTCACTAGCTTTCATCCACTATCTCTTCTCTCACACCCTAACTCTCTGCAATTTGGCTTCCAACTTCATCATAAATGTCCCCTCCAAAGTTACCAATGATCTCTTAAATATCAGCTCTATTGTCCTTTGCTCAATCATATTTCTTGATCTCTCTGCAGTCTTTGACACTTGTCGATTTTTTTTACCATGGATACTCTGTCTTCTCTAGGTTTCCATGGCACTGCTCTCTCCTGGTTCTCCTCCCGTGGTTCCTGATTACCTCCAGGATCAAATATAAAGTCCTCAGGCATTTGAAGCTCTTCCTAGCTTGGTTGCTTTCTATTTTTCCAATCTTCTTACACCTTAACTCCACAAACTCTAAGTTCCATCGCCTTGAATTCAACTCTCCATCTCCCAACCTCATGACTTTGCACTGGCTATTCATCTTGCCTAGAACCCTCCACTCCTTCACCTTCACCTCAGAGTTTCTCTGGCTTCCTTCAAGATGCACCTCAAATCCTACCTTCTGCAGGGGCCTTTCCCAATCCTCTCCAGCTGCAATTGCTTTCCTTTTCAGACTACTTTTTCCTACTTTGCATACATTTTATATTTACATACCATCTCCCCAATTAGACTATGTGTCACTTGAGGACTGGGGCTGTGTTTTGCTTTTTTTCATCTTCCCAGAATTAAGCACAGGGCTCCAAATGACAGGATGTATGTAAATCACTTCGCAAGCCTTAAAACTCTACATAAATGTCAGCTATTTTAATTTTTTTTTCAGACATCTTCTATGAATATCTCTTCCTCTCCT